ATTAAAAGCTTTAATTATGAAGAAGTGTAGAATTCTCTTAAAGGAATGTTGGTATTTTTCAAGAATTTTGTGGGGGCCACTGTTCTGAGGTACCAGATTAAATGGAGGAATGATGTGATATTCTGTGGTATTTTTTCCCCTGTATGGTCACTCCAACTATACCCAGTAGTAGTGTTTTCAGAGTTTAAAAAAAAAAAACAAAAAAAAAACTTACATGTTAAATGATAATACTAACTCCCTCCACCCAATTATTTGTTTACTTATCTATTTATTGCTGTAACTGCTCTGGATAATAGATTTTTGTACACATATACGTTAGAGAATAGAGAGATTTTTATTATGGTAATGCTGAGCAAAATTCAGTGACATTCACGCTTGTTTCAGAGCCTGTTGTTGCTGGTACAGCTGCTGTTGCTGTTCATTTGTGGCATGTCATCCAGAAGGAAGGGCTGATGAGACAATTCAAAATGTGTCACTTAAGCACTGAAAATGTACAGAAAGTATCAGAATTCAATGCTTCCAGAAAGTTTCTGCACGGTTGCCTACTTCTGTTCTTGTTTACCCTTTAAATCCCTACTCTAGTACTGCTCAACTGATCTCAATCTTTCCAGTAGCTTAAATTAACATGTTTTTGAGACACTTTGTCCTAAAACAGAAATCATGAACAGACTTTCTGCAAAGAAGGCAGCAGTTGAGTGCTTTGTATGTGTTGATCTAGCACTGCATGAAATGCTTTCTTACTGGACTAAGCCTAATCATGCTGCTGAAGACAGCGTAGGGAAAATGTCTTGGTGTCCACATAGCCCTCTTGTGGAGCAAAATAAAATTTGTTTGACTTTTCAAAGTAAAGGGGAAATGCCTCCAGATCCTTTTCCCATTTGAAACTCGAAATAATGTTTGCTTACAGAGAAAGCATCTTTAATCATAAAGTGCTAAATAGTTTGGTGTTGCATTCACAGTTATTTCTACTCTCTGCTAATAACTGTTCAGCGAGTTCATGTCTCTGAAATAACAGTGTCTGTTTTCAGAAACGTGGCACAAAGAACAGGACTGGATCAGGAAGTAGGTTGGGGGTTGCTTCTCGTGACTGGTCATGAATTGCAGGATATTCTTTCACCTTCAGCTTGTGCATGGATTTTATTTTTAGCTTCAGAAATAACAGTCCCTTAACATTTCTTAATTCCATTTCCTATTTGTTTTATATTTCTTTTCAAAAATAGCACCATTTAAACTTGCCTGTTTGATATAGTCAGATCAGCCCTTGAGAACTGACATTTTCAGGTGTAGGTGTTCATTACAGAATCACTCTGAAATATACAGTAGTTTCTGAAATGGACATGCCAGCAAATGCAGTAGAAAGCAGTAAAATGACTCCATTTGCTTGTGCTGAAGGGAGCTCTATGACCTGAGATCCTCCACCTATGAAGGAAATGGAAAGAACAGTAGGTTCTAGTATTAACCACAGATAACAGGCGTTTCACACTTAGAACAGCGTTGTTCTCATCTGCATGGCAGAATGATTTGATCGGCAGATTTTAAACTATCCTTCTCTTTCATGGTATAGATATGTCACAAAATTAACACAGGTTTTATATGAGAAGCTAATGTGAGCCTTGAAGTATTTTAAATAGGAATTGCAAGTGGCAATTATTCCCTTCTAGCTCACCTCCCTTTCCATCATAGTAGGAACTCTGAGGTTTTTAAGAAAGTAAATATTTATTCCTATTATTCAGGCAGAGAATAATGTATTTCCAATAGGGCTGATTTTCTCAAAGCTTAGTGGAGATGTATTCTGTTTTTTAAGAGCTGTTCAGTGTTCAGGCTCCCAAAAGTTATCTACCTACCTTTACTCCCTTGAATATCTAAATTGAATGTTTATATGTATACATGTCAAATGAACAGATCCAGTTTTAAACGGATGTGTGTGAATGTAAGATGACCCTGAGTGTAAAATACCTCAGCAGCTTCTTCGTATGTAGTGTAATTTATAGGAGCTGCAAATACATATGCTATTATTTGAGTCAGTTGATATTCTGCAGGCAGTTTAAGGGGGGGTCAAAATGTATTCCCAAGGAAGTTAAATAAATGCTCTTTTCTTCCACATTGGCTGTTTCAAATTATATTTAATTTTTTTAATGTTCCCACAATAAACCACATAAAGTATTTTCTTACATCGGAGAGCAAGCAGTCTCTACGTTGTTTTACTTTGGGAATCATTTAAAGAAAGATTTCTTTATGCTGTTCAGGAAAAAAAAACAAAAAAAAAGAAGAAGCAGGAAGTTGAATAGCGTGGAATAGAGAAGCTCTGTTTTTCTCCGGAGACAAAACTTGCTTTTAGTCTAGCAAAGTTGATAAGCAATAACATCAGCCTTTGAAAGAAACCTCTTTCTCTTCCAGTTGGAAAATATGGAGTCAATTTCATGGAAAATTCAGAAAATGGAGTAAGTAAAAGAACAAAAAAACTTTTATTTGTGGTGTTCAGCATTTGGTGTGCTATTACTGTAACAAGAAGTCCTCTGCATCAGAGTTTAGCATCTTTGTTTTCTGGTCCATCAGTAAAACCAGAAGTCTCTTACGTGTTGGTGGATGGTCAGTGTGTGTAATACAGAAGTAACAGGGAATCAGTTTCTGCTTTGGATATGAGGTGCATACACTTAGTGTGATGCCCCCTTGCCTCAGTTCTCCTCTTGAAATGGAGAAGAGGCAGTTCCCTGTGAAGTGGCAGAGGGGGAGTTTCCCTCTCTGCAAGGGTAACAGAAATGGAAAGTGGGTCACTCCAAAAGTCTCTCCTATTTGTTTCTTTGGAAAATACAAAAGACACAAAGAACAGAATAACACTTTTTGGTAGAGCAAATTCTCACCTACAAAACATAGTCACCACCATTACCTCCGCATTTTTCTCAGTGATGATAAAGAGGCTGCATGCTGTGCTTGTAAAAACTTGCATGCTGTGTGGATCATAGCTTGTCTTCTGCACTGTTCTCAGCACTGCTGAAATGCGCCACCCAGCCCTCACTGTGCTCACATCCGCTCTTTGGTCTCCAGAAACATTCAGCAACCATTGATGAATGTCAATGGGTGCCATTTTTTTTCTGTGTGGAACAATTCAATTCCACCCCTTTGCTTCATCTGCAGTTCCGTGTCAGACGCCATTTTGTCAGACTGCCCCTCTGCTGCCATCTGTCACATTGCAACAAAGGAACAGAATACTGGTGGGAAGACTCAACCGTCACTGCCATATCACCAGTATGCTTTTCCTGGAAACTTGAGAGATAGGCAATACACAGCATGGAAATGTTCTGACAGCGCACTATTCAACCAGTAATGGCCTTGCCATTTTGTATCAAGCTCGTGTTTCTCTGCTCCCTTTTTCTGAGAGAGGCGGAGAGCTGGGTAGGCTTTAGAAGCGAAGTTATGCTCTCTCCTTTGACAGCGATCAGAGGAGAGGGCAAATCCAGAGCAGTGACCAGGAGCTTACATTCCTTCTCTTAAGTCTCACGTTCATTGCTGTGGAAAAATAACTTTGATACCCATGAAGTCAAGGGCATCTGGCACCTTTCACAAAAAGTATTTGCATCCACCAAGCAGAAAAACAATCTGACAAATGGAAACAGCAACTTTAAATATACAAATGTGTGTGTGCTGAGTACACCGACGGCAGCATCTGAGAGGATCCACAGTTGTGATTAGGCTTTACTGGGGCTTGGTTTAGACTATATTTGCCATGGCTTTGCACTGGTGTTCAGGATCCGTTCTCCATTTATATATAAGGTTCTACTGTCCAGTTTAAAGTCTTTGCGTGTCCATAAGTCCTAAGGAATGTCAACAGCTGTAGAGAGTAACCTTCTCTGTTCCACACGTGCCTAGATATTTCTCTTTGTTAAGATTTTGAGGAGCAATGCCACAAAGCAGCAGTGATAACCTGTATGTCCTATATAGGCACCTTGCCTGTTCTATTTTCAGGGAGCTGTCCTTAATTTTCTATCAAACCTCAGCTTTGCTCTCTGTATTCTGCATGTGATGAGAACTACTTTTTAATTACCAATTGCAGTTTGCTTGTGTTTCAGAGCAGCTCTGTCACATCTATTGCAGTAGCTGAGAGAAATAGCCTAATGGGAGGCTAATGAGGAACTGGCACTCATCCTCTCCTCCTTATGATCCTGCTTGCTTTCTGCATTGTTAATCATCATGACAAACTTTAACAATTTAGCTGTGAATTGTTATGGATGATTGCAGAAGATGAAACTTAAATGACCTCCTGGGTCAGAGTTATGTCTGTTGTGTGCAACACCACAATATAATCCCAGCAGAACTGTGGATTTGGGAGCTTAATCAAAGGGCTGGTGGATGGATGACTGAACCCTCAGAACTTAGGCTTTAAACAGAAAAAAAGACTTATTTGAAAGAGTAGGTGTAGGCATTCATACTGGTGGCTTGGATCCAAGTGGATAGAGGTAGCTAAAATCCTGATGAAGTAGGGCTCAGGTTCTTCTCTGTGCTTTTCTTTCACTTCCTTGTAAATGAGTGTCCAATATTCATCATAAATCTTTGTTTGTTTTGTTTGCAGGAGTTGCATAAAGTGCTGCTTTTAAAGATCTTGTTCAAACTTGTATGCATATAGATATATATTCATACAGTCTCATTTGTTTCTGTGCTTGTGTGTTTTTTTGCACATTGTGTGATTTTTTTTCCAACACTTTATACATGAAAGTCTTCAGATTCCAATATCTACATATAAAGAGGATGTGGATCTGCTGAAAGCCAAACCTCCCTTCATCAGGTTGTTTGGTCTAAGTGCTGGAGAATGTTGTTGTAGTTGCTTACTATGGTGTATATAGTGGGCAATTACGCCACAAGCAAACATTGCAGCTTCATGGAAAGGATAGGCATGAATAGTCATTAGTTTCACAGAAAGGAAGGAAATTACTCTTTTCCTGATTGTCAGGTGGTTAATTTCAGTCTTTCCAGAGTGGATTTGTATTGGTGAGGTGTTAATTCAAACAATGAGCACAAAGGAATAGTGAATAATTAAAAATGAAACAAACTGAACTCCAAATATCTGAATCCTTAAAAAGTAAGTAGCTTATTTCTTGTTGTTCAGCTTAAATTAACTCTGGGAAAAAACAAATTATCTTTTGTTAGACTGAATTTACAAATTCACAATTAATGCAACTGATTTTATACACTTTGGATTTAGTCTGATGTGTTCTTCAGTGCTGATATTATCTGCTCATATTAATATACAGCTTGATAACTGGTGGTCCTATGGGTGGGAATAGTAGTCACAAAGTGAAAGTAGTCACAACTATCAGGCAGTTATTTGTAAGTCTAGTAAATTAAAGCTGTTTTGTTAATTTGTACTTTGGTTAATATTGTATTTCTACTTTCGAAGCCACTTTCGAAGGCTTCTCCACATTTTTTTTCTTCCATACATGCAGTTTTTGTTCTATAGACTGCTTTTTTTGTCTGTTTCTAAAGAAAAATTCTTAAGTGTTTTAAGATGCATTTGCTTTTTTTTTTTTGCACAGCTGTTCAACTCCAAATCTGTTACTTGTATGAAAATGTTCTCCCTTATTCTTTTTTATCAGATTTAAATTACTAGCTCTATGCTCTGCAAGTCCTTCATTAAGTCCTACACTTATCCAAATGTAGCATAAAAACTCCAGAACTTCACCCTGTTGAAAGGGCAAAACTGACACAACGAAGTAGAAACAACTTCCATGTTGGAAAAGAACGCAAACAAGGGGTAATTTTTTTCACTTACTTTCTTCCCAGCATACAACATTCAAAAATTATCTGAAAAGATCACACTGGTGAAACGATATCAATGGCTAATGTGTTGTATATGCAGAAGTGTTGGACTCACCATTCCAATTTTTACTCTGAGCACAGAAGGAATTTAAACATAGGAGGCTGTAGGAATCAAGCTTACATTCCTCAGGGATGTAAGATTCCCTCTGTGGTAGATCAAAACTGTAGAAGAATGAAGGGATATATTTAGCTCCAAACAGAAAACAAACAAAACAAAATCTTTTCAAATTAAGTGGAAGTTTGTCTGCAAAATCCTGTTCTCTATTTTTTTGCTCACAGATACATTGCGTGTGCAGGTCATACAGTGCAAATTTGGTAATTGTTCATCAGTGCAAAAGTCCTTTTCAATTTAAAAGGAGAAAAAGTAGGTAAAGCATACTGGCAGAAAAAAAATTGTCTTTGAAATGCTGTGACTTGCTCTTCCTAATGAGGAAAAAAAGCCCTCCTTTTCCATGAAAAATTGTCTCCACAAAATTTCTTCTGGATCCTTTGCAGCTGTGATTTCATGTTTTCCACTATGACAAGCAGAGTGAAGAAAATTGCTGTGTGAATTTTAATCCTCCCATGCTTCAGAAGGATGAAACAGTTGAACTGTCTACTCAGTACATGTTAGAGCAGTCCCCATCAGCTTCAGTTTATGGTGAAGGAAACAGCCTCTTATAGACAACTGTTCACCATCTCAAACTAATAGAAACCATTGCACTCATCAGAATACTCCCTGCACCAAGAAGGTGAAGAGCAATTGACATGTATGTAATTCTACTTTGCTTGCTGAGGTTTGTCTTTCAGCACAGATTGTATGTGAACGTTTCTACCCAGCAATTTTCTCTCATCTTACTCAAATAGTGCTTTGGAGTCCTATGAATTAATTGCCTCATAATAACTGGATCTGAAAAAGTACCTACAGAGATTGACTCATACTATTACAAGTAAAATACTCTGCAGATCTGCAGTTAAATGGTGCCTGTATGCACCCTATCCCAATATTTACAAAAGAACTGCTATGAAAAGAGCTCTTTATCAGCTGAGATTCACCTATCAGTTACCTAGAAGAAATAAGAAATTTAAACATCAAGAAATACACAAATGAGGTGCCAAATCATGAGGTCTTCTAAAATCTTCCTGCTCTCTTTGGGTAACCCAGCTATCTGTCAGACATTTGCAGGTATTATGTCCCACCACCATCATTTTCTCCAGGTCCAGACTCTGTCCTGCTGTAACAGAATCTCCATCCTTCTTTCATTCATAGCTTTTTCCTCTTCATACAAGCTATCAGCATTTTATGTTATATTGGCAGAACAAGAAGAGCTGATGTGGAAGAAAGACAAAGCTGATTGTTTTGCTGGAAGGAATTTCTGGCTCCTGATAGATTCTGTAACTTGTGAGCCATAACAGCAGTGCTTAAAATTGATAATCTTATCGACTGAAATTTCAGTCTTGCTTCTTCTCACTATGTAATTCCCTCTTTTCTTTTTTTATTTGTTTTTACTGGAATTAGTAGAGTTGATACCTGGAAGATTTGCAATTGACTGAATTCAGTCAGTTGAACATTTTAGGTGTCTTGCATTAGTCACAAATGAGTACAGCTGTTAAGATTATTCCTTCCTCTAGAACATTTAGTTTTTGATAAAGGCAGGCTGACAGACCAAGAGCTGATTTAAAATGGTATGATGAACACAGTACCATCAAAGTCAGGTGAAGCTATGGTACGAAGATACCAGGAGAATAATATTCCCATTTTACTGGCTGAGAGGCTAAGGTATATGAAGAGTGTGAGTGCTGACCACAAACACAAAGTAGCCTCTTGACAGAACTGGAATGCAAGCCAAGTCTCCTAAAGTCCAGTTCAAGTGTCTGACCATAGAATTACACTGACTGGTGGGCAAGAGGGCTAGTAACTCACACTTTGAGAAGTTCACTTTTCTCTTGCATGCAAAAAGAGATTAATAATCATAAACACAAACTGAAGGTATCTCACCATACAGTTAACAAATGATGCTTTCAGTGTAGCTTCTTAAGCATCTTTCTGCTCATTCAACATTATTTTCTATAAACCAGAGCGGTCAGAAACAAAGTAGTACTGTTGAAATCCTCCTCTACATAACAAAAAGCAGCCTGCAACTGTAAAGTCCATTTCCATTCAGCAGCCACCACATCTGTTGCTTGCTTGGACACTGGCCAGAATGATTCATTCACATGTCTAACATTTATTTTGGTGAAATACTGGGATTATACAGAAGGGCAATATTTCAAAACTGGGTTTAGCAAACCAAGGGAAGTTGGAAACAACTTCCTCACAGCTGAAAACAAACACAGTGTTATATCATTCTGCAGCTTTATTAAGAGGAAGGCAGTAGCCAAGTGAAGCAGCTGGAATCACACTGAAGTCACTCTGAACTCTACAGATCACTTCGTTCTTCTTTCTGCTACAGAGAGCACATCCCTGACTTACAGTGTGCTTTCTTCTAAAGAACTTAAGAAGGTAGGTCAATCTTTCTATTAAGAATTACATCTTTCTCTCCCTTCCTTCAGAATAACATGCATCTACAAACAAAACAACAATCACAAGCAAATTCTGTAAGGCAGTATAGTGGTTAAAAGAGTTTCTTAGTTTAAAGAATGTGATACTCATTTGTTTCAAAGGCTATTTTGAACCAACCCTGAGGCAAGAAGGGATGTGAAAATAAGTGTGAATTTAATTTTTAATAACTTTCAAATGCGTTTATAGGCTGTTCAAGAAGTATTTTAGCCAGCCAAAGAATGCCAGCTGACCTTGGCTGAAATATCTCCCCACACCCTGCATTAGCTTTGTTTGCTTTAAGGCTTAGGAACAGTACATCTCCTACAGCTATCACAAATTCCAGTAATATGAATACATATAAATACATTGATTCTGATCTGGATTCCTGAACAGGAATTTGATATCATTTCAGGTAACAAATTGATTGTTAACAACTGATAAACCTGTAATTATTAACAGGATAAGAACATCATTACTCTGAATAGTTACAGTCATGCAGAATTATAAAGAGTTCCTTATGATCTGATCTGGAAGGTGTGTGTTCCCCCTACTATCATGAAGTAAGGTGAAATGATGTGAATCTAGCTGTCACTCAGTGCGTGGAATAGGGGGTTATCTAGAAAACAACAAGATTTGAAGCTTTCTGTATGAGCGTATAATAAGCAGGACTGAATTCCACCTCTTGTTCAGCCCTAGTGATGGCCATGTCATTTTCCCCTCTAGACTTTTTAAATGCTACCTTGCAAAATCAAACAAAATACCAGAACTCTTTTTGTAGCTTTATAAAGGATGCATGGATTCAGGAGGAATTAAGACACATTTGCATTCTAGCTGAATAAATTTTTCTTCCTGAATAACATCACATTTGAATTTTCCAGTCTGTGATCTGTTGTTAGATATTTTTGTGTGTGAAAATGTGAATTCCACTATTCCAAACAGTAGACAGACAGTTCAACAGACTACAATGTTCTGCAAAATGCTTATATTACTGGCTTTTCTATTCATTTTATCTTGTGGAATGTACCAACAGTTCCGATGTTTCTCTCAATACAGTTGCTGGTTGTCTGGCTAATTTTCACTCATTATTTCTAATAATGGTTTGATTTGTGTTCATTCAATCTGAAGCTATAAGTTCCATAAGAGAGCAGATCTGCATTGTTGCTGGCTTTGCTGAAAAGAACTGAGTTGGAGGAGCAGTTTCTCATGGCATGTTACCAGAAGGAACTGCTGAGATTGGGGTGGGCGGTACCCAAGAGACATTTGGTTTTAGAAAGGAAGATATCATGCATGGATCATCTCTCCAATGCTCTTTGCTACTTTTACAGTGTGTTTGAAGCTCCTGACACAAAAAGAAAAATTATCCTCAAAGCATTTGCTTCTATGCTCTTATTTGCAGCGTGTTCCAGATGCCATGGGCTTGGAGACTTGAGATTAAAAAAACAACAAAAAAAAAAAGCACATCAGGCTATCACTGCTCTCTTGCAAAGATAATTTTTGCTGCCTTGTTGCAGATCTTTTTCACCTGCCCACTGCTTTACTGCATTACATTTCTTAAGAGTATTCTTTTTGTTGGTGGGCCCAATGACAAATTAATCAAACCCATTTCTATAAGACAGGTTTGTTTTCAAGGGTATCAACACAGGCCAACACTCCAGAAGACTCCTGACTTTGCCAAGTACATTAGCTCCCAAAGAGTATCTAGCTTCCAATACCTACTGTTAGTCTTATGCTTTTCTAACCCTAAAATCATTAAGTTAAAGTTTTAACACATTTATAGCCATAGGCCATCTAGTATCCAGGTACACTTGTATAAAAATGGAAGCCAAACAAATTAAATTTTCCACAGTTAGCCTGATTTTTTCTTAATATAAACCAGGTCACCACATGCAGAGAAAGCAGAAAACCATGCACAATCTCATTTATAATTTCAGTTTTAGAATTCTTGATTAGATCACATAAATCACAGAAACATCTTCCAGGAGGACAGGGAACAATGTATTCCCACCTCTGTTAACTTCATTTGTCTTTTTCCAAACTTTTCCTGTTTCTTTCTTCCCTTCCCTAATATTTCTCCTGTACCTTTCTGACACTTCTCAGAAGAAATATTTCAAGAACTACAAGAACCAGCATCTTTTCCCTTTATCCACAAGATTTGCCTCTTCAGTGCTTTGGCAAGGTCTGGATTCTACCTTCATCTCTTCCTTTGAATCTGCTGTTTGGCTTTAGGCAAGTTACTTCTGATCCTTTCCCTATTTCTCTTGTGTCTATTTATTCTGTTTGGATTATAAACAAGGCAGGAATTGTCTCTTATTATGTGCTTACTGCACCTAGATGCAGTGAGGCTTTGATCTCCAAAGCCTACAGACAACATAAAATACTCACCTCTTTCAGCAAGTGTGAGCCTGGCACAGCAAGTTTTGATCTCTTTTGAAGCTACCTGGTTGAGAGAGGCAAGAAAACTGTGAGTAGAAAGTCCCTGAAGCATCAATGTAATACCATTTTCAGCACTCCCATTTCTTCTTTCTGGTCATCTTTTAAAGAGCTCAGACTCATATTGTTCAAGTGAGAAGTTTCATGATTGTTGAGAACCATTGTCCTTTTAAGAAAACTAAGTAAGACGTTTCTCAGTGCCTTAAACTCTTACTGGAGTGTATTGTGCCTTGTCTGGTGAGTCTAATTCCTCATGACATAAAAGTGACTTGCATAGATAATATAGGAAACCCGTAAAACCAGTATTTCCAAGCTTCTAGTTTAACATCTGAATCAGATGCCATCTATTCTTATCACTGCTAGGGAGTGTTCCCTGTACCATATTAGGGAAACGTATAAATATCCAGTCCTGCTGAAGTTGTTTTACTACTATGGTGTGGTTAGTTGTTGTTTCCCCTCCCCTCTTCAATTCTTCAAGAATACAGGCAGTGCTTATTTTAGACTTAAGCTTTAAGTAAAAAAAGTCATAAATAAAAATCTTTGTATGAATACTGGTGGTACACGGTGATTCTATTACAAGTGCTGCTCCAAAAGTAATGCCTCCTATTTTATTAAGTCAGCCCGCAACATCAGAAGCAGACGTTGGTGGTATGGCAACAGAGGTTGAACCTTCTCACTTTCATAATGGCTGTTTTCTATCATATATTTAATTGGCTTTAATCAGTCTGTGGACACAACAATGAGTGGTCTGAAAGAAATGCTTTCACTGTATTCTATGCTCTCATTTGCTCCTTCCTGTTAGGAAAGAGGTGTAATTAATGCATATTTTTGCTGAAGCAGAACAGCCTCTTAGGAACGCTTGTCAAAGTTGCATGACCATGTAATGATCGTATGAAAGTCAATCAACATATTCTTCCATCACAAATGTGCAACAGTTGCAGTGTAGAAGTTGCATATAACTTTTGCATGAGAACGGTAGAAAGTCATGCTTGATTAGAAATACAGGCATCTATTATCATAGACATCTGTTAAGCTGAAACACCTCAGAATTTTTAAACTGGATATCTCCATTATCCAACATACGTAGTTACCATGATGGCTCATAGCTAAAGAAAGTAATGACAGCATTTGAAGAACAGAATACGTACAAAACTCAGACCTTACTGATAAAAATAAGCATGGACAGAGATCCAGGCTCCTTTTCACAGTAGAGAAAACCAACTAAAATCTGCAGAGCTGCCCAGGTGCCAGCTCCCACCAGAACAGTGGGCATCATGTCACAGGACAGAGTCCTATTTTAGGAAAGAGAAGGTATCCAAGAGGTGAAGCTTGGTTTCTCCACTCCATTGTGAGTGAAAGGATGGCATTATTTTTAAGAAAGGAAGGTCAGACTGTGTTTGAAGAACCAAGCAAGGATTCTGTGTTTAGCACCTGGTTTATCAGAGACTTCCTGTAGTTTATTTTCAACCTTCTTTGTCTGTAAATCTTCTGATGATACTTCCCATTGAGTCCAGTTTCACTACAACCTCTGAATACTTAGCTGTTATGTAAATAGTCAGACAGTTCTGACATATAGGATAAGACCATATTTTAAATCTTGAGATACACTGTTAATCTAATCTTTTGTCATTTTACTGACTCTGCTTGACCTTTTAATATGTTTATGGCCACACATTAGGCTTGCAGAGATTACAGTCACGCTTTACACTCGAAAGAATACCAAAAGAGTTATTTCTACTTTTAGCTGTATTAGCAGAGGGGAATGAGAGCAAGAGCTGACTGCACAGATACAAGGTTGTCTCCTCCCAGTGCATATCCCAAGGACATTTAAGTTCCCATGTTTTCTTTAGAGATGGAAATCTTAGTGCATCGTAGGGATCTGTGTGAAAATAAATCAGTTTCTACACAATGGAGTTGCTGGTTCTAGAGACTTTTGAGTTACCTTCGAGTTTATGAAAATGATAAGCTGCTCAATTGCAGCAGTTGTTTGGATGATTTGTCGTATTCAAACCAGAGTTACCGTAGATATTTTTCCTATTACAGAAGTATTTTTTAGATACAGAGTTGGGTTTTCCATTTGTTGTTTAACATTTCTGTGGCAGCAGAAGTCTGTGTCTGAAATTATTGTTTTACCAGTATTAACTGTGTCTGTTGTATAAGTTAATCTCACTGCAAGAGTCACTTAGTCAGTACAAAATGTTATGAGACTATTATCTGGTCAGATGACTTCAATACCACAGATGAAGTGGTGTGTTATGACTAACAGTATCATGTTTGGCCTTGCTTAAAGACAGTTGCTTTTGGCATAAGTTTTAGAAGTCGTCTAGCTAGGACATGGCATATGAATTTCTAATGCTGTTTCAGTGAGAGACACAATGGAGAATGATGATTTGTACTCCTGTCTTACCTGCTAGAGCAAATCGATACCTGTATTGTGTCTTGAAAGTGTTTCCAGTTTGTATCATACCTATCATGATGCATTCAAGTTGTTGAATTCACAACAGTATACAAAGTAACTTTGTTACTGTGTG